ACGATGCGCTGACGACTCGTAAACGATGGCAAACGCACGCTTATTACTGCTAATATAATCGAGGCCAAATCAGCGCGGCATATCGGCCTTCAGTGCCGATGAGAAAAAACACTACCTCAACGTCAGACCTCATAATGAAATCTGCAGCCGCGGACCAAATGCGTTTGGAACCACGGTCGGCAAACGCGACACAATCGTACATCAACCAACAGAGGCCTGGTGGTCGAAAACCTGTGAAACAAGCCACTGCTGCGACGGTTTTTTGTTTTCGTTGAAAATTCATCGTTCATACCGAACCTTGCATATATACACTGGCTTGATCACGCATACGATATCAAAACAATACGCAAGAGGCTCGTAACACCAACTCTTAAGCGAACGCTCAGGCGAGCGACTCACACGGAATGAAAGTACTTTGGAAGTAGATCAATACGTCACCGTAACATCTTATTCAACGAATGAGATAAATCTCTCATTGTCAGCACTTACTGTAATGTACACTAATTTAATAAAAGAATCATGGGTTAAGAATCAGGGCATGAAGACAGTTTCAATGTGTCCCACGGAGGTTCTTGACATTTTACCCTGATAAGATATGATAAGAATTCAAAACATTCCATTGCCTGCCATAGCCATATGTTACGACTAGTTGATGTTGATTAATATCATTGTACAGAACATCGATTAATATCTATTTTCAATTATAATAGTTATTACACGGTTGAGAAAATAAGGGACATTGGACTGTTAGGGCGTTACAGGCTTCGGATTATGCAACGAACGGATGACTTGTAGAAATCTGATGATCATTATTGCGTGCAGCATAAGTATTTGTTTGGCGAGGGATTGCGAAAACGAATTCCGTCGTTGCTTGTGAGGGGTTGACCCGTATGCTATGAGGTCATTCACCCTAACTTGTGTGGAATGCGCAAGCTTCTCAGGTATTTATCAATAGCATCATGAGATGCAGCATGTTTCCACCTACTCTCGATCGCTATCGACGGAAGTAAGCTGCTGATGTTGGGGTGAGAAACTAAAGTGATAACATTTTGCAATATTTTTGGTATTGCTGATGCTCGTTCGGTGAACTTACCACCGTAATGCCTGTGGGATATATGGCTTACGAGCTGAGGTCATTTAAAATACGCCTGACCTCAAACCTGCTCGGCACAAACTCAACAACTGAATGGCGACTGAATGCCACCGAAATTTATCGCTGCTAACAGATACAAGAATTCAAAAGTATAGACATCACTGCCTTATTTATTAAATTTCTTTGAACGGCTAAATGAACGGATTTGTGGAAACTTTAACATCACTAAGGAGGTCCAAAGATACAATTGGTTCATTTTTTATGAAGTGGTTCAATGGTTCTCGCGTAGCACAATATAGGAAGAAGAAGTTACATTTTTGTGCGAATATTTCCGACTTAAGACAAAGCGTGTCCCATTTTAAACGGTGAGATGCACAACGACGAGACTACAGAAGTAGGTCACAGTAGCTGCTAATGATGCGATCTAATTATCTTGCTGTTCATATTTACCGCATCGACTCCACTTGATGAAACTGTAATATTTCTACCTTTATCGTAGTGTCTTTTAGTATCTGATGGAGTAGGGTCAAACGATGAACACATGCAAATGATCATCATCAGGCTGCAGCATGCCACTGGACGAATGTACGATTGTTTGATTAAATTTATACTTTTCGCAATTAAATTTAATTTTGCAAAATAGTTTCCACTTCATTGCCGACCTTTTCACGACACAAGCTGGATAAAAACTCACAAGTGATATTTTTGCCTTCATTTTAAGGTTACGCTGAAAACCTTGATTATTTAGTATTATTGCGAAAATTGATGAATTCATTTTCAGTGAGAACATGAGCGCTCTGTACCGTAAAAAATGTCGCCAGAAGCTTCGGCTAAGGCACTCAAGAAAATGATGAATCACAGAAGTGAACGAAGAATAACGACAAAAAGCGTCGTATATATCGTAAGCAACATCTGCAAAGTTCTGAAACAGGTCTATCCAGATACCTGCATTGACAGCAAGGTGATATCGGAGGTAAGCAGTTTCGTGAAGGATGCTTCCAGCGTATTGCCAGTGAAATTCTCTCCTTGTCCAGTACAAAAGGAGATGCATGATCAGCAGCCTGCCAGCATCAGCAAGGCGCAAATTTTAGGTCATTTCACAGAAATGACAACACAGCAGAAATCAATGGCGATGTATCCATGGTGTTTTGATGAATTTGTTCGAGTGTACATACGGATAGCATTTCTTTGGAGGAAAGATCATCACAAAATGGACAGTTCAGCACAAATTATGGTTTTTTTATTTTGTTTCATATTAAAACGAGGAATTCCATCGGTACAGTGACGCCTGAATTGAATGCGTCTCAAATAATTCAGCCCTATATTCTAAAAAATAAACTGAACTGCGCTGAAATCCTGTTTCGAATTAATTACATGTCATTTGACAAATTCTTGTCTGCAAAAATATTTTTATATTTGTGTGGCAGCACATAAGTAGTAATATCTCCTACAGAATCGTTTATTACAAGGACGACGTGGTCTTAGTGAACAAAATAAGGCGAGATGCTTATCATCATATTGCAGGTGTTCAAATACGGTAGAGCCATGCCCTGTTTAAATTGCTCCTGACAACAATGAGCAAAAGAACCGTGCAAAAATCCGTTTAATCTGGTCTTTGATGAGGTATACCTGTGCGTAACAGTATCATGTACATTTAATTCGAATCAGGGCACGCAAAAATTCCCACGCCTTGACGAACGTTTCCATAAGTGGCTAAATGAGTGATCCAATCAATAAACAAACATTACCGACTGTTGTCACACAGCTGATTTTGCGGGCCAATCAATACCGAATAAAATCACAGTAATTAAATTACTTATTACTGAAGATAAACATTACACATTTTCAACGATATCACGCATAAACAACATATTTTATTTGTGCTGTTTTGAGAGAACGGTGCGGAAGCAAATTGCAACCAACCGAATAATCCATACGTTCACATGTTTACTTTTTACACACTAGCTTAAATACAGCATCCACCCAGAAAATCTTCTCTGTTTGGAAAAACGTGTGGAAGGACACAAAACTCATCTAGTAGAATCTCTCTTAAAGTGTACATCGTTTCTATCACAGAACAAAAAAATCTCGTTATACTAGCACTAACCTAGTAAACAATTTTAAAGCAGCATTAAAACTATGAAGGCGGACCGTGCTTGGTCTGAAACGTCAGATGTCCCTGATTAAAGAACATTTTGTTTGTTGTCTTCCCCGTTTGTGACTTGCCAAAGGATTATTTCACCTCTCGCATAAAGAAATCATGTACGTGTTTCAATATAAATATAACATGAATATATAAATATAATCAACTTTATTTGCAATTCCTTTGACTGAGAACAGTACATTAGTACTACTTTGATACTGAAATCATACTCGAATGTGCACATAATAAAGTGAAAATACAAAAGCGTAAAAAATGAGATCTAAAGGCCTCTCTCCCTGGAGTAGTCATATAACTAAAATGTATGATGCAGTTTCAGCCGCTGACCATGACCATGAGAAATGGCAGAGGAAACACAGAGTAGGCACTACATAAATCAATGCGAAAAGGAAGTTCATCAGAAATATTAACGAAAATGACTAGCTGCAAAACAGATACATATCTTGCTTAGTGATAAGCAAAAGTGGGAAATGGCCCTTAATTTATAGCCACGTAGTATTGGTGGAATAAGTAATGGCTAATGCAAGTCAAGACTCAAAGTTATAGGACAACTGGCACCACCCCTTGGTTTAAGACTCATGAATGACCACTTAAACAAACCATACCGCCTTGACATTTTGAACCTGACTTGAATGGATGAAATACCGCGTTTCACAGTTGGGGATGAGGAACAGTGTGCACAGTAACGCGTGTTGCCACTCAAGCAAAATGTATTCTCACAGGGTAGTAAGCATTCCATCAGCAGTCTCACTGCGCTACTACAATTCAAACCGGAACTCATGTTTCGACATTCTATCTACACTAACGTACGCACCTTTTCAATGACCTAATTCCAGTTCATCAGCTTCAAATATACTGTTTAAGTCATCGTCATCTGGAA